AAAAAGTCCAATATACCCTCGTCTATCTTATATACACAGACTAGCGCTCAGAAAATATATGCAGCTCATATACATCCAACAGAAGAGAAAAAGGCTCTGGTTTACATCGTGCAGATCTGCTAAATTTTGTGACTGATTTCCGTTGGCAAGACTTCATTCCGGTGATTATCATCTTTTCCCTCTACCTTGCTTTCTTTTTTTTTTTTTGATTTTCTGGTTTTAGGTTTTGTTTGTACGATTTTTAACAAAAATCGATTGGAATAAACCCACTGTTTTTTGGAACAAAAAGCGTAAAGAAGAGGGCCAGAAACTTGTGAAAGTTTTAATCTAAATTGATTTTTGAAACTTTGATTTCTAAACCCACTGATTTCTAAATTTATTTTTGGAACTTTGATTTCTAAACCCACTGAGATAACAGAAAGTTTTTAAACTGATTTGTAAACACACTGATTTGGAACTTTTGAAACTTTTTGGCTCTTTTTGGAATAAACCCACTGTTTTTTGGAACTTTTTGTTCAATCTAAAGAGGGCTTTGTTTGTTTTGTAATCAAATTCGAGGGCTTTGTTTGTTTTGTAAACCCACTGAGATAACAGAAGAGGGCTTTGTTTGTTTTGTAATCAAATTCAATTCAATTAGTAAAAACTTGTCTCTGTTTCATTATTTTATTGGAACCAGATTTATATCTCTGTTTTATTTATTTATTTATTTATTTGGGGCTTTGATTCAAGCAATAAAAATTTATTTGTTTTGTATGTAAAGTCTAGGAATTTGATTGAATCAAACTCTTGACATTAAAAAAAATAAAAATAAATAAATAATCTATGAAGAGTTTGATTTTTTTACATAATTAGATTTTTATATATTGGAAAAGATAGTTTAAAGATAATCTGATTTTATATCCAGATTTTATATAATCAATAAATAAAGTTAGTTTACATAATCAGATTTAGTTTACATAATTAGTTTATATCCAGATTATAAAAATAAATAAAGTTAGTTTACATAATCAGATTTAGTTTACATAATTAGTTTATATCCAGATTATAAAAATAAATAAAGTTAGTTTACATAATCAGATTTAGTTTACATAATTAGTTTATATCCAGATTATAAAAATAAATAAAGTTAGTTTACATAATCAGATTTTATATCTAGTGAGTTGGGAAAGTTAGTTTACATAATAAGTTTACATAATAAATAATCTGATTTTATATATTGGGAAAGTTAGTTTACATAATAAGTTTACATAATAAATAATCTGATTTTATATATTGGGAAAGTTAGTTTACATAATAAGTTTACATAATAAATAATCTGATTTTATATATTGGGAAAGTTAGTTTACATAATAAGTTTACATAATAAAAGTTAGTAAGTATTTCAATGATGTCCTTAAGGCTGTGCTTCGACTGCAAGGTGTCTTACTAAAGACACCTGAGCCAATAACTGCTGGGTGCACAGATGATAGGTGGAGGTGGTTTCAGGTATATGCTAGTTTTGGTAATTCTTCATGTTTGATAAAAGTTATATTATTCATAATTACAATTTAATAAGTAATAATTTATTTTTGGTAATTTTTGGTAGAATTGTCTTGGTGCATATCATGGCACTTATGTTAGAGTGCTAGCTCCTGCAGTAGATAAAGCAAGGTATAGATCAAGAAAGGGTGAAATTGCGACTAATGTCTTGGGTGTTTGCTCCCATGACATGCAATTCATATATGTCTTACCTGGATGGGAAGGTTCTACTTCAGATTCTAGAGTACTTAGAGATGCCACAAGTAGACCAAATGGGTTGAGAGTGCTAACGGGTACAACTGCATTTCACAATATCTTTACTATGTATAACCTTTGGACTTGTACTTAAATTATGTGATTATATAATTATATAATCCTACATTATTACAGGTTCCTACTATCTAGTTGATGCGGGCTATACTAATGGGGATGGCTTTTTAGCACCTTATAGAGGACAACGTTACCACTTGTCCACTTGGAGGGAAGGGGGTGCCCCAACTAATCCAGAGGAGTTCTTCAATATGAAGTACTCCGCGGCTCGTAACATAATAGAGAGATGCTTTGGTCTTCTGAAGCTTAGATGGGCAATATTGAGAACATATTCCTATTTTCCAATCAAGACCCAATGTCGAATTATCACAGCTTGTTGTCTTCTACACAATCTCATCAAACGTGAGATGCCTATGGATCCATTGGAGGTAGACTTAGATGACACATTGCCAAATAATCAAGAAACAGGGGACGAGTGCATTGACATAATTGAGGGATCTGACCAATGGAGTAATTGGAGGGACACTCTAGCTAACCAAATGTATAATGAGTGGTTAGCTAATAGGATGTAAAATTAAGTACTATTTTCATTTGATGTAATGTTTTTTAATACTTATGTTGTGTAGTGAGTTAGAGACTTGTAACTTAATAGGATGATGTAGACATGTAACTTATTTTATGTTTCAGTTATTTGTTGAAGACATAACTTAATAGGAGTGTTTGTTTGGTTGTCTTAATAAAATTATTGTTCTGTTAAAAATGGTTGCATGTTAGGTATGGATGACACAACTGTTACTAGTGGATGTCGAAAAAAGGGTAAGGGAAAGGCAACTGCTTCCTCATCAAGAGGTCGTAGAGTGTGGAGTCCAAAAGAGTGTGATGTGTTGATTCGAGCCATGAGGGATCTGTTCAGTGAAAAATGGAAGGCTGACAATGGTCAGTTCAGGTGTGGATTTTACTCTGATGTTCAGTGAAAAATGGAAGGCTGACAATAGTCAGTTCAAGTGTGGATTTTATTCTGAGTTGGAGAAGCTTATCATATTAGCTTTTCCTGGAACCGATCTTCGTGCATCCCCTCTTATCGAGTCAAAGATCAAATTTTGGAGAAGACAATACAATTTGCTTACTGACATGCTTCGCTTGAGTGGCTTTGGGTGGGATGACTCTGAGAAGATGATTTTGGTCGACAGTGACCAAGTTTGGCAAAACTATGTCAAGGTAAAAAACTTACCTTAACCATTTTGCATTATTTAACCATTTTGCATTATTTATTAACTAGAAATATAAATTTTGAAAAACTGTTGTTTTGTAAAGAGAGCCAGATGCTAAGGGCATGAGAAATGTACCTTTTATTTACTACAAGGATTGGGTAATTCTCTTTGGCAAGGATAGAGCCACTGGAGTCTTGGCTGAAGGACCTGCTGACATGGTTGATGCCTTAGAAAAAGAGGACCAAACTACTGAGGAGTGTTACACTCCAATTGTTGATCTACCTGATTGTTCCTTATCAGCTTCTGGGACTCCATGCAACCAAGGTGGCTCAGGCACAACTTTTAAGAAAAGAGCTAGGGAAGCTGAAGGTATTGCAAAGGGTCTTGTTGATATGGCTGTTGAGTTTGGTTCCTTTTTCAAGAAAACCAACATTACCATGGAAGAAATTGCTCATAGGATTGGGTATGCCCAAGACTTGTCTCAATCTAGGAAGCTGGTTAATGGGGCACTAGCCAAGTTGCGACTGAACACGAATGGCAGGTTGAGAGCAGCTACCCTTATTGTGAAGGATGCTGAAAGGGTTGATTTGTTCTTTAGCTTGCCTGAAGAAGAAGAAATGAAATGGGTATGTTTGTTGTTGGCTGGGTGTGTTTAAGTGTGTTTGCTGTAGGCTAATGACATATATCTATCTATATATTATAATATTAGTATTGTTATTCCTCCTCAAGCACATGTGTAGTGCCTATTTTGCATAGTAATTAGGAGGATTAGAAATATTTTGACAGACTAACTGGTTTACATCCCCTAGAAATGGCTTTTGTACCTAGTTTTAATCTAATTGTTGGGGTTGTAAGTAAGCTGAAGTATGCTTAATATTAGTATTGCTTAATTTTGTTGGAATGATGCTTAATATATTAAGTTGAAGGTTATCTATTGTAAAAAAATGTTATCATTTACTTAGAATGAATGAAGGTTATTTTTAATTATAATGGCTCGGATTATTTTATAAGAATAATGATGTGTGATGAATGAATGAATAAAGATGTTATTTTTTTTTCATTCAATGATTATTTTGTAAGATAAAATTTTTTAGAATAAATATTAGTTTTTTTTGGGGGGGTAAAATTATTAAATTTAATATAATATAAATTTTTTTATCAGTGGACATTAGTTTAATATATTTTTTTGTTTGTTTTGAAAACTTATTGAATTTAATACGAATATTTAATTTGTTCAAATAAAAAATAATATGAATTTTTAATTTGTTGATTTACATTAGTTTTTCCTAATTTGAACAATTTGGTTTTGATGGACATAAGGGCAATATGGGTATTTAAAATATATTATGAAGGTAATTTTGGAAATTACTTGTTTATATCCCACAATATATTTTATAAAACAAACATGAATAATATATATCCGGTCCTATATACCAAGTCAACAAACATGATTTGGGGGATATACTATCCAATACATATATCATATTCATTATATATCCTGACTATATCCCACATCATATTATATTCTCTATTTTATATCCGGTAAAACAAACAGGGCCTAAGTGTTTAAAGAATCAATCTCAAGTGTTTTTCATGTTCCTCCCTACTCCTCGAATATATAAGAATATCATCAATATATACCACCATAAACTAATCCAAGTACAGTTTGAAAACTCGATTCATTAAATCCATAAAAGCTGCTGGTGCATTCATAATCCCAAAAAGCATGACTGAAAATGCGTAATGTCCATGCCTGGTTCGGAAGGCGGTCTTCTCAACATCCTCTGCTTTCACTTTTAACTAATGGTACCTAGATCTCAAGTCGATTTTTGAAAACACTTGTGCCCCCTGTAATTGGTCAAACAAATCATCAATCCGTAATAAAGGATATTTATTCTTCACCGTCACCTTATTAAGCTCTCAGTAATCAATACACAACCGCAGGGTCCCATTCTTCTTCTTTACAAACAAAACAAGTGCGCCCCATGGCAATGTACTCGGTTAGATGAACCCTTTGTCAAGCAATTCTTGCAATTGTATTTTCAATTCTTTTATTTCTACCGGAGACATTATGTATGGAGCCTTGGAAATCGGTTGAGTACTCGGTACAATATCAATGACTAATTCAATCTCACAATCTATCAAGTCCCCTGGCAATTCTTCGAGAAATACATCCGGAAACTCACTAACAATATGAATATTTTCAACACCCATCTCAGCAATCTCTGCATGCAGAATGCTAGATAAATAACCCCTACAACCCTTCTAAAGTAGTTTACAAACTTTCATAGCTGATATCAAATAGGGTGGAGGGACAACCACATGTCCCACAAAAATAAACTCACCTTGACCCGATGGGCAAAACACAACTTGCTTAGACACACAATCGATGGTTGCATGATACTTAGCTAACCAATCCATTCCCAAAATTATATCAAAGTGTACCATATCAAGAAGTATCAATTTAGCACATAATGGAATATCTCTAAATTAAAGCTCACATGCAGAATACATAGAAGCACATAACATATAATCCCCAAATGGGAGAGACACGCACAACACATAATTCAAGGGTTTCATAGATCTATTCAAATTAGGAGCAAATGTTTTTGAAACAAAGGAATGAGTGGAACCCAATTCAAGTAGCACATGAGCAGGTTGGCCATTGATGGAAAGTATACCTGAAACCACAACGTCTGAATTTTGGACCTCAACCGGAACAAGAGCAAAGACTCTCCCTTGCCTAACATTGTCTCTAGAAATAGTAGGCCTTGCCGGGGTCTTTGTTGCAGGAGTGGAACCGGCTGAACTAGCAGTTGGCCTATTCCCTTTTTGTTGCCCAAACATAGGACAATCTCTCACCATATGCCCATCTTTCCACAATTAAAACAAGCTCCTGATGCTCGATAACAAACCCCCCGGTACTTCTTTCCACACTCTGGGCAGGTTGGTACCGAATCACAAGTAAAACCCAAAGTGTTTGAAGTTCCTAAATTTTGCTTCTTACTTTGTGAGGACGCCGACCCTTTGTGCACATTAGAGCCTTGCCTTTTGCCATTCCAATTCGAGTATCGGTTGCGGCTGGCTTGGTTACCTTCCGCTATAATGGCCTTATCCAATACATTAATATTCTCAAGAATGGAGTCTCGGAGACCACCCTAAAATTTCCTCGCCTTCTTGTAGTCCATATCAACCTTGTACGGTGCGAAATGGGCCAGTTCGGTAAATTGTGCCTCATACTCCGCTACGGTTTTGTTCCATTGCTTAAAGTTTTTAAACTCCGACAACTTCCTATCTTGGATTCTTTGTGGAAAGTGCTACTCATAAAAGATCTCCAAAAATTGAGCCCAGTTCATCCCTTGATGCTTGTAGACGTGCCCCGAGGGCCACATGTTGTGCTATAGTTCGGAATCAAATGTCACGGTTCTTAATCTGATCTCACAATGTGAAATATGAGATTGATAAATCACCAAAGAGTCTAAATCTGGCAAATCGTTTTGGAAAACTGATTTTTGTAAAGAAGTGCCAAACATAGACTGCTTTGCCAGATACAGAATCGCCACCTAAATATTTTATTTTGGGGGAATTTAGGAAACCCTAACTCGTGCCTAAGGCCACGTGTCCGTCATCACCAAAGTTGCCTTGGCTCGGGAACTTGGGTACGATTGGGGAAGGTCATCTATGAGCACCCCTCTCACCCGATCAAAGATCGGCCTGTACTAAACATGATATTTTGTTTTTGAAAACACGTGTTTTTATTCCAGTTAATTAGCTAGAATTACTATGTGATGCGCACAACACACAAGTATAGACTAGATCGCCTAATTTGGAACAAAGCATTGCATATCCGTTTATTTGGAAAATGGTTTGAAGTTTGCTACTCGTATGTAGGCTAAAATGCGGATTTAATGAATTGTTCCAATTCAAGTAATCCAGCCTTCACCCACAGGCATTCAGGCAGTTGTATCACATAAGCAATTAGCCTCATGGCAAGCATGCTGTCATGTTAACATTCACATTACATGCGAGATGCTAAAGCATAAACACTCACAGTGTACTCCAAGCCAAAACAAAGAACATGTTAGTAATCAATGTATGGTCCAAGTCCATGTTAAGATGGCTAATGCATCACATACAAAATGCAACTAGAATAGGCTCGGCTAGTCTAAAATGGCATGTGAGATGCGACAATTCAACACATGTATTCAACTTAGAATTGAAATACAATGCAGTTAGTATGATGCGCCGAGCCCGGTGCATGCAATACAGATGAATGATGCAAACATGCATAGCATAAGGATGCTAATTGAAATGTGCCCTAGAACTAACCATCGTAAGCGGTTAAGTAAAAGGGAGAAAGAAGTGGAGGTTGGAAGACATGCATCACACACACGTACGCTTATTACACAATTGCGCCCTCTTGACGGAGGGACCGAAAGAATAATACAAATTACATAATTAACTAACTAACAAGCCAATTAACTATTACACAATACTTAACTAATTAAGCAAATCAATTTAGCTATGAAAATAGTAAAAATAGCCTCAGGAAAAAGGATGCATGCGTTCTCGGACGGCTTCGCTCGGAAATCCATCGCCATGCTCGTTGTAGATGTCTCCGAACGCCCCGAGAGGATGAGTCCCGTTCTGTTCGTTTGGGCTCACTACAGTTTGGACTCTCGAATTGTCACGGTTCTTAATCTAAACCAAAGAGTCCAAATCCGGCAAATCGTTTTGAGAAAACAGATTTTAGAAAAGAAGTGTCAAACATGGACCGCTTTGCCAGATACAGAGTCGCCACCTAAATATTTTTTATGGGGGAATTTAGGAAACCCTGACTCAATGCCAAAGGCCACGTGTCCATCATCACCAAAGTTGCCTCGGCTCGGGAGCTTGGGTACGATTGGGGAAGGTCAGCTATGAGCACCCCCTCTCGCCCGATCCGAAGATCGGCCTCTACTAACCGTGATATCCGTTTTTGAAAACGTTATGTGTTTTTATTCCGATTATTAGCTTAGAATTATTATGTTATGTGCACAGCAAACAAGTATAGACCAAATCGCCTAAATTGGAACAAAACATTGCATGTTTGTTTTGAAAATGGTTTGCTACTCGCAAGTAGGCTAAAATGCAAGTTTTGCCACCCTCAAGTGGGCTTTAGAAAATATGGTTTTGCTACTATCTAGTGGGCTTAAAACTCACAGTTTTAATATATTATTCCAATTTAGGTAATTCAACCTCCACCCATAGGCATTCAAGCAGTTATATCATATAAGCAAGTAGCCTCATAGTAAGCATGCTGTCATTGCAACACTCACACGCATGCAAGGATGCTAAAACATAAGAACTTACCTAGTACTCCAAGCCAAAACAGAAACTAATTAGTAATCATATGCATGGTCCTAGATCATGTTAAGATGGCTAATGTAACACATGCAAAATGCAACTATGATAGGCTCGGCTAATCTACAATGACATGTGAAATGCCGTAACTAACAGGTATTCAACTTGGAATTGAAATACAAGTGTAGTTAGTATGATGTACCGAGCTCGGTGCATGTAGGACAAATGTATGGATACACGCATGCATAGCATAAGGTATGTTAATTTAAATATGACCTAATACTAACCATCAAAAGTAGGTAAGTAAAAGGGAGAAAGAAGTGGGGGTTGGAAGACATGCACACACGCACCCACACTTATTACAAATTCGCCCTCACTCGGAGGGACCAAAAGAATAATACAAATTAATTAACCTACAAGCTAATTAAATATTACAGTCCACCTAATTAATTAAGAAAATTAACTAAGCTAAGTATGCGGTAAAAGGCCTCGGGAAGAGGGTCCCATGCGTGCGTGCTCGGGTTTGCTCGGAAATCCAACGCCATGCACAAGTTTGCCTCTGTTTTCCCTGCTCTGCTCTTTTGAAAATTGCACAACTCCCAAGGTATGCTCCATGGACACTGTGGAGCACCACCGACCAAGTGGGAACACCACCGGCCATGTCCGGATGGTCATCGGCCATTTGTTGAGCTCTCGGCCATCAATAATTGGTCGGTCGACACTCCATGTAGTCGACCGGCCAAATATTCCTGCAGAACCTGTTTTGACACCAGCAGAGGGAAAAACATGGCATGGCAATGCATTTCAAGCAAATGAATGCACCACCATATCCCTTATCATATTTAAGACTCAAAGGGGTATGGTGCTCGATTCTCGGACCACCAATCGCGCATTTCAATGTGTGATGGCCCAAAAGCGAAGTGTGCAATTTCAATAAGGAATGCAATGTACAAAACAAACAATGGGCCCCAACCTCCATCATAATCAATTCAAGAGGCAAGAGATGTATGCTTAATGTTATGCAACCTAGGCATGGAAGCTAAGCATGCAATATGAGCATGTGAACAAGCAATGTAAACATACAAGCATGCAAGTTATGCAAACTAACGAGCATGTAAGATGGATGAGTATGCAACAACATGTGGGAATGGTCTTAAACCAAAATAGGCAGCTCTCAAATAGGCCCAAATCAGTGGCCAAATGCCAGGAAATGAGGGCCAAAACACCTACAAGCATGCATGCACACAAGATCCAACACTTAGGTACCAAAGAGCAACTTTTAAGCACACTTAAGAGAGGGATAAACATGGATACATGGCATGCATAGAAAGCTCTGAAATCATATTATAGAAGGTGCAAAACCAAGTAAACAAGACAAGCTAAGCATGCAACAATGGTCTAAAACTCAAGGTAAGCCAAGGGGGGTTACATGGTAGCTATACAAAGCAAGCCATGGATGGCCTAAGCAACCAAAAACAGACCTTAAGCATGCTAAAACAAGCATAAAAGCTTCACAAAGCTAGGCCAAAACAAGTAAGCATAGTGATCTAAATGCTAGGCACATGTTAAGGCAATTCATGGCATTACAAGACAAGTATGCAAGGCAAGCGTGGTGTGTCTAAACCAACTTAAAACAGTGCTATATTATGGAAAAATATGCACAAATACTACTTAAGACATGGCCAACATGAACTTAAACAAGGTGCTCACACATGAGGCTAAAATGACAAGTTTTGAAGGCAACAAGGAGAGGGGATGGCCCTCTCCTTATTAGGACCTTAAACCACCATCCTCACCACCGAAATCCCTCAAGATTTCAGTGGTGAGGAGGCCCAAACAAGGTGGTCCTGAAGCTCACCAAAAATAGCACAAAATGGGGCCAAACAAGGCCTAAGAGGGGGTAAATGACCCCAAACACAAAAGTGACCTTAATGAAGTATCTTAAACACAAAAAAACAGAACTTTTTTATGTTATACACAAAGCTCAAAACAGCAAGAAAGATAGGCTAAAAGTGTGTGCAAAAACGGGGAATAAAGAGGGAAAATGAGTTATCTTTGTAGCCAAAAGGGGACAGCAGCCTCTTGGTCCAAAAAAACAGTCCCTTAGCCTCTGAAAATGGCCTCCAAGCTCCTTAGGTTGATGATGGAGGTGTTGTGCTAGGAGGTGTAGTTCAAATAGCCAAGAACTAGACCCTTTTGCACCCTCTAACCCACACAAATGTAGAGAGAGAGGGAGATATAGAGAGGGAGTGATATATATATGATATATATCAGATTTTTCTAACCCTCTAAAGGAGAGGAGAGGCCCTCTTTTTATAGAGAAACCTAGGGGGTAAAGCTTCTCTTAGAAGCTTGGAGCCAAGCTTCTCCAAAGGGGTCAAGAGGTTCAAGCTTCTTCAAGAAGCTAAAAAAGGATCAAGCTTCTTGGAGAAGCTAAAAAAGGGGTCAAGCTTCTTGGAGAAGCTAAAAAAAGGATCAAGCTTCTTAGAGAAGCTAAAAAAAGGATCAAGCTTCTTGGAGAA